AAAAATGAGAGAAAAGTACCTTACACATTCAGTTATTGTGCGTATTAAATAAAAATATCATCAGGGGAGAGTGCCTGGTACAAAGGAGATGGTACAAATATAGCCATCGTTATTGTAATAAGTACTATTAATTCTCTAGATATGGCTTCCATCACAACCTTTGGATCACTGTTGTATTTTTCATTTTTATTAATGACCTTAGACAAGACATCTTCCCTCTGAGCCTCAGGTATTTTTGTTTTTGTTTTTATCTTTGACATAGATGAAGAAGGATATTTTGATGAAGGGAAGTGTTAGATTCCAAGGTTTTTTCCAATCCTAAAATTCATTTTATTTTCTGCCATCCAGTGGTCATCCTGAGATGTATGATCAGGTCCCCATAGTTCCACCTTTCTCCCGGTCTCCAGTACATACCTAGGTAACTATTCCACTACAGTACATGTTCCCCAGGCAGAAAAGTCTATATAGCTCTTACAGATCACAGCTCTCCTGAGTGGGTTTGAATTCAGACCTCTGTTGAAATTGCCATGTCATCCTGAAGGGAAGCCGTGTTGAGCATAAGTTCTTATCCTTTACCTACTTTCTTGCCCAACCTCTTTGAGAGTTAAATTTCTAATTTGCTTTGTGGCTGTATTTATCACTAAGTTTTTTTTATTGTAGAATGGTTTTAAATGTACAGAAAAGTTAAGCTAGTACAAAGAGCTCCCTTATAAACTATACCCAGTTTCCCATGTTAACATCTTACATTAGTTTGGTATATTTATGAAAATTTACAAATCACTATTGATACATCATGAATAACTAAAGTCTATAATATTCAGATTTCCTTAGTTTTTACCTACTGTTCTTTTTTAGTTCCAGGATCCCATTTAGAATACCACATTACATTTAGTTGTCATATCTCTTTAGACTCTCTTGGCTGTGCCATTTTTTTAGATTTTGCTTGTTTTTGATGACCTTGACAATTTAAGTGTTCCTAGTCAGCTGTTTTGTAGAATGTCCTTTAGTTGGTATTTGTCTGGTGCTTTTCTCATGATCAGACTGGGGTTATGAATTTTGGGAATGATCAGAGGTAAAGTGCCATTCTCATCGCATCATATCGAAGGTATCTGTTGTATTAGCATGATTTATGACTGTTGATAGTAACCTCGATCACCTTGCTGAGGTAGTGTTCTGTTTATCAGGTTTCTCTGCTATAAAATTACTCCATCCCTTTCCTCTTTTCCTATTGCACTTTTTGGAAGAAAGTCACTATACACAACCAACGGAAGTTTATTTTTTGTTTTACCTAACTATCCAAAGTGAGTATGTCTCATGGCTATTGTCTTTTTTCTGTCAGTTATTCAGAGGCCCACATTCTTCTTTTTTGTTGACATCCCCTAGGGCTTTGTCATCTAAATCTAGCCAGCATTAAGAGAATGTTTGCTTTTAAAAGCCTCGGCCTGAAAATGGCACACATCACTTCCACTTACATTCCATATGACACTCATTCATCTGCCAAACCTAACTGCAAGGGAGGCTAGGACATATGGTCTAGCTGGGTGCCCAGGAAAAAGAGGAAATGGATTTGGGAGAAAAGCTAGCAGCATTTGCCACACCATTTTAGAGTACAAAAGATAACTAACCAAATCCCTGCCACCTCACCATCTAATAATATAGCCATCACTTCATAGAAAAAGAAAAATAATAGAACATTATCTTAGAATCAAGAAGAGTCATATAAATTGGAAAATATCCATTGTTTGTCTGGAATGCCCTTTCTCTCTTTTTTTTCCCTCCCCCCTTTTGTATATTAAAATGCCACTTACTCTTCAAGTGATGGATGAGGTGCTTTCACCCAATCTTAATACAGAATTAGTCCCTTATTTCTTGGTTCCATCATGCCACTCTGCATCTATCCCTTATTTGACACCTACCCTACACTAGGCTTATATATAAATATGTTTCATGCATTAGACTTAGTGGTCCCTGAGAACAGCACAGGATTTATTCATCTCTTAGATCCCGAAGCATTGTCTGACAAATAAAAAGCATATTTGCTGAGTGCCTCCAGGATTTTAGATATACCAAAAAGGGTTCTCATTTTTTTTTATAAGCATTTCCTTTAAAATACAACAAAACATGTCCTCTCCCCATCACCATTATAAAAATGATCCACTCTTATGATAGCCAAACCTCCATGAAGGAGATGCTCTTGATCTGAGCCCAGAAAGGTTGGTAGGGTTTGATTGGTGGTAATCAGGGTACAGGCAGGCCTGGCTTTCTATGACACGTCCTAGGTTCATGGCATTTGTTCAATAGATGGTCAAGTCTCCTTTGAAACATCTTGAGTGCAAGGCATTTGCTTTCATAGATCATCACATAATTAAAACTCAGACTCTCAGCTTGTTCTGGCAGTGCTTTTGGGCAGTCAGGGATGGTATAAAAGCTGATGCTCATTATCTTGAACAGGAGTTACCAACCTGAATTCCCTGGGCCCCAACAGGGGGATAGCTTCACCATAGCAAAAGAAGTGTTTAATTACAGCTACAGAAAGAAGAGCCTGAAAAAAAACAAACAATCTTTTGTGGGCATTAGTGACTCAGTTGCCATGCATCTCATTACCAACCAAAACATAACTTCTTAAAGTGATCTTATCAAGCTTATTAGATTAAAATATCATTATAAGATAGTTGTCCTTTCATTCTATCCTTTTCTATCATCTATCCTAGCCCATTGTTTATTTTAATGATTTACAAGCTTAATTAATATTTCACTAAAACAGAAATCAGAAGGCATCTGGTATTCATCATTGAAAACAGACCTTAATTAGGATTTATATTCTTACAGATTTCAGTTCATACTTATCACCTATATTTATTCATCGAAATTCTCAGTGGTGATAGTTAGAATGTGAATTATTTTTCCCTTTATACAGGTATGACCACTGAGCTTCAAATGTAAAATGACTTCCTCAGGACCACATGACAGTTCTGGTTCAAAGCTGGGTCCTTTGGCTGCCTATATAGAATGAAGTGTGCCATATTAGCACCTACCTGCCAATTAGTTAGTCTCATGGCAGAGCCACGTATGTTCTTTTTATTTCCCCTGATTATAAAAGTGATCCACAGTTATGGTGGCCACACTTCCTTGGAGAAGGTGATCATGAGCTGAGCCTTGAAAAGTTGGTAGGGAGGGTTTGATAGATGGTAATAGCGGTACAGGATATTATTTTACAGTGATCTTAGCTAGCTGTGTGTCCTCTAGTACATCAGATGGGGTGGCCCCATGGAGACAGCACACTGAACAAGAATCCATTCTTTGATTTCTGCCACTGCTCAGGGCAGAGGATTCTAATGTGCTCCAAGTCGATAGATGCTTATGGAAGGGACCTAAAGATATTTTCGTTTAACTTCTAGATAGTATTGATAAAGAAATTAAGGCCCACAAAGTAAATAAATTGAACTTATTTAACATGCATGTATAACATATAGTTATCAGTCAGAATGCTTAATATACAGTTCAGTTCTTTTTGTTCAGAACCCTGCTTTCTTATTCTCAGTTTCCTTGGCATCTTTTCTGCTTCTTTGAGTTGCTTTGAAGAAGACATGTTTATATAGAGATTGCCTCATATTCCTGAATATATGTGATCAAGTCATGTGAAAAAGTTTAACCACAGACATAGGTTGTAGAGAGCAGGTCCATTTCCAGATAGTTAAATGCATTGAATCCTTAACTAGAATTCTTATTTAGAATTAATAGCCATCAATAAATGTGTTTGGTTTAACACACTGTATCTAGTATGTTGCCTGACCAAAAGAAAAAAAAAAGGTTAAGAGTAAATATTGGTTGAATAAATGGGTGAAGGAATGAAATTGACTATCAGGTAAAATTTGGTGATTGTCCTTTTGAGGGTAGTGTGTTGTTATTTCAGTGATGCATTAGAATAGTGTAATTTTTTTTAAAGATTTTATTTATTTATTCATGAGAGACACAGAGAGAGGCAGAGACACAGGCAGAGGGAGAAGCAGGCTTCTCACAGGGAGCCTGATGTGGGACTCAATGCCCGGACTCGGGATCATGCCCTGAGCCAAAGGCAGATGCTCAACTACTGAGCCACCCAGGCGTCCCAGAATAGTGTAATTTTTGCCCAGTACTGAGGTAGAGATAAAAATGGTAGTGATGTTATAGAAACTGAATTGTTGCTGGCAGTCAGCACCACAATGAAAGCTTTAAATGTTTATGTTAGCTGATGTATAAAAATCCAAATGTGGTATACAAAGTTCGGTTTGATGGTGCTAGTGTGAAGAGAGTTTTTAAAAGGTAAGGACCACTCCTACTTTGAAATTCTTAGAGAAATATGCATGAATTTCTTTCTTTCTTTATTTTTGTACTGGAAAAATGACTTTTGTAGTGCTGGGGCTCCTCTCTGGTATTTATTGAAAGTGAAATCTGTTTCACATACTTTTTAGTCACATCTCATGGCCGTGGGGGTTTTGCTTTTTCCTGTAGTTCTCATACAAGCCATTCCTTTCTTTATAGCTGAAGTGGAGCAGAATTTTGAAACCCAGGAGTTTATAATGAATAGTTAGCACTGAGCAGAAATACAGGTCTTTCAGGGCCGATTTTGACTGCTGGAAGCTTAGGAATTATAGTGGCAGTTTGGTCTAAATAGTGATTCTGGAATGGGACCATAAACTTGGCGGCATCTTGCAGTCAGGCACTAGACGCATGAGGGATGGAAATAATTTACTTTTTAAGAATGCCTCTGTATTTTCCTGATGATAATTAGTTTTATCTAGTTATATTTGGTTTATTGCTGCATAGTATTATGACTCCGCCCCTGGAAGGAAAAAAGAAGAATAAAGATATGTTATTGAAATATCCCCTTTCCAAATATTTATTTCAATATTTAAGCCATTGGCATTTGTGAGTTTATTTAGAGAATTTTTGGACAATTCGCATGTGTTTTTTAATAAACAAAATAAGAATTTGAATAATCATTTCATTTTGTTTTGCAGAACCCCAGCTGAAAGGAATTGTGACAAGGTTATTCAGCCAGCAGGGATATTTCCTGCAGATGCACCCAGATGGTACCATTGACGGGACCAAGGACGAAAATAGTGACTACAGTAAGGAACATTAGCTTCCTGCAATACCATTATGATCAAATATATTGCCCAATGTATCTTAGACTTAAGACATGGGCAGGCTGCCTTTTGAACTATTTAACTGCTAGTAAGCTTGTGTCTTGTCATTTATCCTTTTTGCTATAATTCCCTATAGTTAAAGAGGCAATTGGGGAAGGTAACCTACTAAATGAGAAGGTAGGAGGCTTGAAGGAGTTACAAATAGTCAATGGATAAAAAAATCCTCCCATCCCAGGGTTTGTAGTCAATATGTATTCATAGGAACAAGGCAGACTTTCCAGCGCAAGATGTTGTTTTAATCCTAGAACCAAATAAGAAACATGTTATAATAATTTTCAGAACATTGTTTCTGGCACATCAAAATTACTTCTTAAGGTAAACATTGAATACATACATATGTATATTACCTGTGATTTCATTTTGATTGAGGACAAAATTATTGATTTTAAAATAAAAATATATTTTTTATTTTATATTGATTTAGAAAGAAAAATAGTATGATGATATTTTGGTAATAACAGAATAATAAACACTAGTAGACCTGAAATTTTATTTGTTTTTTTAAACAAAATGCCAAATATTCAAAGTTTATTAATAATGTCCCTGGAATTAGTTTTTAACTAATTTAAGTATGGAGGTAACAAGTTTAATAACTAACTAAACTCAAATCAAGATGTAACAAAGTATATTTGCAGTTCAGAAGAATTTTGAATACAAGTTTCAGAGCCACTACCTCCCTGAGGGTATATATATATATGTCCCACTGAGTTGTCTTCTGACTGGATATGATTTTGAGGTCGGTGTGACAATCTACTAAACTGCATGAGATAATCTAAGAAGCCTTATATTTTAGGTGAAATAGAAGTAAGATTAAAATGAAAGATTCGAGGGAAGATCTGCAATTCTTAAAGTGTGAAAATTTGCTTGTCCACCCCTTTTAAGTCATTCTTTGTTCACTTAATATTACACTTCACAAAATATGAATTACAATACAGAAAAGATCTTATCATGAAAATTTGCAGCTATTTCCCACATAGCTGATTAGCCTATTGTGGTTTGCATTGTTGTTTTGTGTTTATAAGAATGCATTCTCTTAAAAAAAAAAAGAATGCTTTCTTTTTTCTTTCTTTCTTTCTTTCTTTCTTTCTTTCTTTCTTTCTTTCTTTCTTTCTTCTTTCTTTCTTTTTTCTTTCTTTCTTTCTTTCTTTCTTTCTTTCTTTCTTCTTTCTTTCTTTCTTTCTTCTTTCTTTCTTCTTTCTTTCTCTCTTTCTCTTTCTTTTCTTTCTTCTTTCTTTCTTCTTCTTCTTTCTTTCTTTTCCTTTTGAATGCATTCTTTAAATGATTCATATTTATAACAGATTACAGAAGAATGAGCATGTCTTAATTTCTATGTAAGATTTTCAAGTATTGCCATTGCCATCTGTGCTTGCATGTAGATTTAGAGAGGCTGCAAGTATTGATGGAAAGAATCAGGGAGATTGCTTAGTTGTGTCACCTGCACTGTCTGGAGGTATCCTTTGATCTCAGTTTCTTTTTCTATAAAATGAGGTGGCTTGAGATAATGATATATTTTTTTAGAATTCAATTAGCCAACATATAGTACATCATTAGTCTCAGATGTAGTATTCGACAATGTATGCGTACTTGGGTGACATACTTGGGTGGCGATAATAATATTAATGTCTTCTGTCAGCACCATCCATCCAACATTTTAAAAAGGTGAAATATTACAAATTGAGGAAGATAGATTCAATTCCCAAATAAGTGGAATAGTCATACTCAGTTCCACATTATGCAGCCATAACCCAGACAGCTATCTTGCAGATGTATGACATTTATCATGGGTTTGTGCTCAAAGGGCAGGGGCAAAGTGGGTTCAACGGACAAAAATCTTTCCTTCACCATTTCATAGAAAGATAACTGAAAAATACTCTCTCTGCAGATGCTAGATCAATGTCTGGCGTAAATTCATACCTGTTACATGTATATACACATACACTTATACACATGTATATGTATAAATATATATGCCTATGCATATATAGGCATAATGGCATTATGCATGACACACATATTGAGGGTGGTGCATTTTGTCAAATACTTTTAGAAACTGAATTCATACAAAGTATCTTATTTTTTATTATTTATTATTTTTTAAAAATATTTTATTTATTTATTCATGAGAGACAAAGAGAGAAAGGCAGAGACATAGGCAGAGGAAGAAGTAGGCTCCCTGCAGGGAGCCCTATGTGGGACTCGATCCCAGAACCCTGGGATTATGACCTGAGCCAAAGGCGTGACACTCAACTGCTGAGCCACCCAGGCATCCCTAAAATATCTCATTTTTAAAAGATAACTGCACACACTTTTTGATATATTGGTTTTAAAAGTAGTTTAGATATACAAACATACGACTAGGATAAATCTATCTGGATGCTCAACCCCTGGCTTAAAATTTAGTTAAAAAATATCAGTATATTTCCCACTGTGTGCTTTCCCAGATGGAGATCCACTATCAGACGTAACAGCTATCCTGAATTTAGCATTGTTTATTTCCATGCAGTTTTAAAAATACATTTTTCATATATGTATACTTAAACCATTTGTAATACCATTTTGCATGTTTTTAAACTTTTTACAAATGAGAGCATTTCTGTATATAACTTCTGTGTACTTTTCCTCCCTAATATTATGGTTTTGATGTGCATATGTGGTCGTATGATTGCTTTCTATCATTCATTTTCATTTCTGTAAACTATCTCTTTGCATGAAAATACCCAAATATATTTACCCATTCTCTTTTTGGTGGATAATTATCATCTCTATTTTAAGGCAACACAACTATATTTCTTATAGATGTTGAAAAGACCTTCCCTAACCATCCTTTATAAAATGATACATCTTACGTTGATACTCTCTCTTCTGATATCCCCCACTTTTCTTGTACTCATAGCTCTTTTAAGCACTACACACACACAAACACACACACAGTTGTTACTTGTTTGTTTTTGATCTTCCCCTTCCTCCCAGGAGAAGTTCCATGAGGGGAGAGATTTTGTTTTGCTCTTTAGTGTATCTTTAGAATGATCCCTAGTACATAGTAAGTACTCAACAATGGAATAAATGGAATGAATGGAAAAAGTAAATGAATATCCTCCTGTGCATTTGTAAAAAGTTTCTCTGAGTCATTGGCTAAATACTCTACCCACCCAAATATTATTTTAACTTTTTCTTCTGAAATAATTTTAGACTCAGAAAATTTACAAAGTAATACAGGATATTTCTATATACTTTCCATCTAGTTTCTCTCATGGTATCATTTTATGTACAACAGTAAAATTATCAATGCCAGGAAATTAACAATGGTATAGTACTATTGACTGAGCTGTAGACTTAATTCAGATTTTACCAGTTTTTCAATTAATGTACTTTCTTCTGATTCCCCCCTCACCACATATTTTCATTGAACATTTTCCAATGCAAGCAATTTTTATTTATACTTTTTCTTAGTGGGGATAAAGGGTAAAAATATCAGAAGGATTTGAATTCTACTCATTTTTTTAATAGGAAATTATAAACCTCTAAGATGTGAAAATGACTTTTCTTTCTCTACTTTGTGTGGGCAGGAGTAAAAGCATTTGATTGTTTGAAAAAAAAATCTTGTTACTATGAGCATCTGTCAGAATTGTGCTGTTCGGTTCACTAGACATCATTAGGTCCAACCAACCTTACCATGGTATCTTGCATTGAATTGATAAAGACACCTGTTCTTTTGTTCATGAAGAAAATACTAATTACATGTAATTGAGTACAAAAACAAATGGGTTTGTCAGCAGCAACAGATAAGAATCTCTGCAAATGTAATGATAACAAAAGATACAAAACTGTGTTGGAACACTGGCACAAAAAAGACAATTGCAGTTTGGAGAGTATTAATAGGAATATTTTACATAAAATTAGAAAGGTAATTATTCTGCTCTACTAGTTGCCATAGGAGAAGATGCATTTGAAGAGGTCAAACATGCTGGGGTGGAAACAATTAAGATTTTATAACCAAATGCATTGTTCTCTTTCCCTCTGAATAAAATATATGAACAATGATTTGAACATGAAATGAACTGCCTGATAAATTAGTACAATGGTGAAACTGGAGATATTCAAGCAGATGCTGTACCGGCCTTTGTAGGGAGTTTTACAAGAAAACCCTGTTGGTGTGGGAAGGGAGAAGAAGGTGGTTGGGGTATTTTCAGAGCTCAGTGACTTTTAAAGTCTCCTTCAGTCCTGAGATTATTTTTTTTTTAATTTTAATCAAGATTTTTCATTTTAATCCCCATTTAATTAATATCCAGGGTTATATTAGTTTCAGTGTACAATATAGTGATTCAACAATTCTATACATTATTCAGTGCTCATCATGATAAGTGTGCTCTTTAATCCTCATCACGTATATCACCTACCCCACCACCCCATAACTATCAGTTTGTTCTCTATAGTTGAGTCAATTTCTTGGTTTGTCTGTCTCTCTCTCTTTTTCCATTTGTTATTTTATTTCTTAAATTCCACATATGAATGAAATCACATGGTATTTGCCTTTCTCTGACTAACTTATTTTGAAGCATTATACTTTCTAGCTTCATCCCTGTTGTTGTAAATGGCAAGATTTCATTCTATTTTTTGTGACTGAATAATATCCCATTGTATGTATATACCACATCTTTTTATCCATTCATCTATTGGTGCACATTTAATTGTGCCAGTTTTTGGGTTGTTTTCTGGGTTACTTACACTAAAGGGAGTGTTAACTAGTTGTATCCATGGGATGAGGTGAGCCCCGGTCCTCCTACTCCGCCATCCTCCCTGGGAGTCCCAGTCCTGAGATTCCTTCAAAAATTATTTTGAATATAATACAAAACCACAAATGTGCAAAAGGTATACAGTTGAGAAAGAGCAAAACAATCCCTGCCAGCCAGGAACTGGCATGG